GCCCAAGACCAGAAGTACCGGAACTTGGAGGAGCGCTATAACTTTCTGCAGGATCAATGGGCCTTAGACCAAAAACTGCAAAAGGCGGCACTGAAGCTGAGAGATGAGATGGTGGCGAATGCGCGGCGAGAAATTAATGAGCTGTGTGCGAAGGTCCAAACGGACTCCAGTGTCAAGCAAATTCAAATCCGCAATCTGGTGGATGAGCTCGTGCGGAAGACGCAAGCGTTAGAGCAGAGCGAGGCTACGAGGAGGGCGGATGAGGAATTGCTGGGGAAATTGCAGGCGCAGTGCGAAGAATTGAAGGCGCAGCGGGCGGCGACGGAAGTACAGTTGGCCGAGGTTGAAGACCGCAATCGGCACGCGGCAGATCGCACGCGGGAGGAATAAGTTGTGCGGGTTGATTGCTGTCTGAGGGGTTATGCTCACTGGGAGGTTGCGACCCGGGAGAGAGTAACGTTGCTCGAACTCGAGATGCGCACGACTGCCTTGATGGCTGGCGACGGACGAAGTCGGCGGCGAGTGGCAAAGCAGTTGGAGGCGTTCCTGTCTAGGTCGCGGGATGCTATTGCGAACCTCGAGGCGGAGATGACCGAGGTGTTGAGGCGGCTTGGACTGCGTAGGCAAGCAAACTAGTGAACGGGTAGGAAATTAGTGGGTCGCCGGCCGACTCATAGGAGGCATAGTCGATGAGTAAAAAGTATAGACTTTAGAGTAGTTAAGGACTTTAGATTGTATAAAGTAGTCCAAGGCGTTGACCTTAGGGGATTTTCTAGTTTCGCGAGTTCAGTTCAGGAAGTCGTTTTCTCTTCGTGTTTGTGTCTTTCGTTATGTCATCACGCAAGAGTAGTTATAGATTGTCGAAGTTACCGCATCCTAAAGCAGAAGGACTTTGTCCGAGCGCTCTGAGCTAGCGTAGGCTAGCCAAGATATAAGTGAGTTTGGACTTACACCTTCGGACGATTTTCTTTGGTTGTATTCCTTTGGGATTTTCCCCCTGAATACCAAAGTGAAGTTTTGTTGACTTCATAGTAAGGATTAGTTGAGTTCAGGTTGAGTGTGAGATTGTGTTAAGCTGCTCAAGGTGCCTTCGGGGTAGCCTTCGCAGTACTTCTAGGAATGGCAGTTGCATGAGAATTCAAACTCGTCAATAGACTGTTAAGACGTAACACTGGGTCTTTTCTCACTTTAGTTTCTCAGTTTGGACTTCTGTATTCTCTGCATGTTTTGTGAGTTGAGTGTGTTGTTCACCGCGTGAGAGTGACTTTGGTTTGACGAAGGTATCGCATCCAAAGTAGGAGTTTCAACCCGAATGTTCGGTACTAGCAGTTGGCTAGTGACAAGATTTAAGCAAATTCGGAATTAGTATCTACCTGCAGATCCTCTGAGTGTACTCTTGGGAAATTCCCCCCCCCCCCCCCCCCCCCTAATCTGAAGTAGAGGTCGCAATCGACCTCTGGATTGTGCAATTGACTGTTTCAGGTGTGTTTGTGTGTACTACGCTGCATGGTGTGTCCTCCGAGTCTGACACTTGCAGTTTTTCTGGAAGTGATAGTAGCCTGAGAATTCAAACTCCCCAGTAGACTGTTAAATCGTGACACTTTGTACTCTGTGTGTTGTTTCTGTCCCTGTGGGTTTGATCCTTTGTTGTTATACTGCAATTTAGCATTGGTTGGGTTATCACAGAGATCAAGTTCTTTCTCATGTTAGATATAAACCTAACCTGTGTCAGTGTACGGTTGACACTATCAAACATGCGGATCTTTACAAATCCAACACTCTCAATTCTACAAGGTTGGTCATTCCCCATAAGAATTGAATCGTTTGATCCTAAGAAAGTAGAAAAGAACTATTTATTGTAACAAATGTGATAAGAACAAACATTACCAAAAATTCCTACGTCACCAACAACGTTTGATGATCTACAAAGAGCATACTTCTAGCATCATAGACCGCTGGCAAACATGTCCTCCTCTTCGAGATGAAGATGCTCCGCAATATTTGCCACTAGAGGTAAGTTCTTCTCTCGGATTTTCATCTGGCAATCCTTTGTGATGTGATCATTTTTGCCACATCTCCAACACATCAAGTTTCTCTTGTTAGTGGTTTGAACTTTAAACTGAATTCTACTCCGCTTAAGAGATCTGGATCTCTATCTCTTGAATCTGATACATCGCGAATTACAAAGATCCGTCGGATGTGACTGACCTTGGATCATAGTAAGTGCGGTACTGGTAGTGAGTGAACAAGAGAATGATAACATCTCTTGTTTTACCTCGTCCGCCATGAGAGCACTTACAACCTGGTTGTAAGTTACAACCTTGTTATCACGATGAATGAGCATTTTTTATAGCATCTGGTAGGAAAGAGGCAAGGAGTGAAGTAGATGCATAGCTTTCTTCACATCAGAAAGCTACTCTTCCACACTCTGAAGATTTACCAATAAATCTCTTTATGCGTGATTGTCATTCTAAATCTTAAATGTAGGCCTCATCCTAAAATTCAATAACCTCATGTAGGTGTTCTGATGAAATCATCGTTGTAGGACATCAAAAAGCTGTGTAACCTCAAAGTATTCCTCAACTTGCTTATAACCAAAAAATCTAGATGTCCATCACAATGTAGACGATTTGCTTTGGTGAATCCTTTCCTTCAATGTTGCTAATGTGCATAAGTTTGACTCTGAGCACATGAGTGAGATCCATAGATCTCAGCTTGACTTTCACTTGCTTTTCTCAAAGCAAGTAATCACCGCGGCCATCAAGAGGAAGTATGTTGTACCCTAATCCTCCAAGTTGTCTTGATGTCATCTCTGTTCGACGAAAACTAGATACAACATCTGCTTCCGCTTCAATTTTGTCATTCGGTGATATTTTCAACTTATGAAAAGTGTCAAGGTGCACTAGTCGCGTCAAGAGCTTTAGGGTATGATAGCTTGCCCACCGCTCAAACTGCGGCTTGCCTCCGCTCTGGGGAAGGAGGGGAGGAAGAGGAGGCCCACCGCTCGACCTGCCTCTGCTCCTGCTCGGGGGAAGCCCGCCGCCTAGACTGTGGCCTGCCTCCGTTCCTGGGGAAAGCCTGCCGCACGGCTGAAACAGGCGATAGAGTTTACTGACAATTGAATACAATCCATACAGAGTAGAAACATTGGGGGTATATATTTATCCAACACCAACAATAAACCTAGCTATAGATAGCTAGAAATTGAGGTTACTCCTAAATTAAAGTTAACCTCAACAATATTTTAAAATAGCAAAAAACATGCACACTAAAAACAAATGAGAAAAAAATATTTCATATGACTACATCCATCACACACGTATCACATTTTATACTGTGTTTAAATTTTATACATTATTCAAAAATATTCAATCAATTAGATCTATTTATATGCATAATATTTTTGAAAAATTATATCTTTTTAGAAAAAATTCAAAAAGCAGAATGTCAAAGAGGTGATAAAAAAGAATCTCATACAAAATGCTCGTATGAATTTTAATTTCAATGAAATATGCAAGTTTCCAATCATTTGATGGTAGAAGTATTATTATCATCATATAGAAATTGTAGAGTGCACAATTGCGCAAGTTGATACACTTGATCAAATTTCTTTATTTAATTCATGTATGTGTATTGTTTGATGTACTTTAGCTGAGTCAAATTGTACCAATCTTCGATATTTAATCTCTTATAGAGTTTTATAATCTTTCTATTTTAAAATTTCACATCCTTAGCTTCTGTTCTTCATATTTGTCTTTATTATTGGACTTCAAATTATTAAAACAACTTTTATAACAAAAATTTGAAATTCAAATAAAGAAATAAATAAGCATTCAAAAAATGAAAAGAAATTTTATTATTGGATTTTAATTCGTCAAAATTCATTTATCAGTCAGAATATAAAATTATGAATAAGATTCAATAGATTCTTTTTTTAATGGTCAAGTATAAATATTTCTTTTAAAAATTTAAAGTTTATCACATAAAGCAATATATTCCGGTAGATTTAATAACAATGAAATACTTAGAAAATGCTTTAGGGTAACATAAATGATATCTTTGAAACCAAAAGTTGAAAAATATTACAAATGACATGTTTAAATCCACAGATTTTTATTAAAACAAGTTATATATAAATTATCAAGTTTCAATTTTTATTTCTAGAAAATAACGAAAAAAATACTGTCTGAATTTTGGCCTAGATTTCATTTTAACTATTTATAAAAAACTGCAGAAACATTCCACCTTGTAAGGTATTATCATTATTATCAAGAATTATTATTGTTATCATAAACATGTTATGCAAAATATGATCATTTTATTTGTGAAAGATAATACTAGTATGAAATCATTGAAACATGAGTTGCATCTCTTAAAGTCTTAATGATGTGATGCTAAAAAACTATAAATATCACTGAAGTTTACGTAATGATATTTGATAATGTATAAACTTACAATAACACTTGAATACTTATGAAATGCTTCTGTATTAACTTCTTTCAACTTATGAAATTAGAAGCATTTCATAATGAAATTGTTGAAGCGAAAATATTTGAAATTGTAAATCATGAAAATAATATAAATTACTTTGATGATTTCTAGTGGGTCATAAATTTCAATTTAGAATTTAAGTCTCTTGTATTTTGACATACATACTTTTTAGTTATATAATATATGAAATATCTTCTTCTAGTGGTGATATGGAATTATCAATATCACAAATATAACATATGAATCATACAGATTTGTATAATATGAATGATATATCTTTTGAACCTAAGTTTTGACCTTCATTGCTTCCTTGAGACAAAATTCATATAAAATACTAACTATAACTCAACTAAATACGTTCTCATGTTGATAGCTAAGATTTCTTTTCTTAACGAAAATATGCTTGCTTTTGCAAAATAATAGATATAACATTATTTTATTCGTCTAAGTTGAAAGAAACTAAACAACATTTTGTTTAGTTTATGTCTGAGGAGTTTATAAACTATCAGAGTATTGTTTACAAAACATGTTTACAACGAAAAGAGATCCGTCTTGTATTCATATAAATCCGAAAAGACATCCGTTTAGTTTATGTCTTTGTAACCGGAGGTTTGACTTCATAACGATTGATATCGGCAAGGATAAGCAGTGTATATATGTTCAAAAAGTGACTGCCCGTGGTTACTTATAGACTTCCAGGCGTTTCAGATGAGAAACAAACTTCCCTTCTATGTTAGATTCCTTACAAATTTCTCATGCAGCAAGGATTGACATTGTTTGGAATGAGTGCTTTACTTTCTTAAAAAAATCGAGATTGTCACGTTACATCGCATGGTACATGAGGCATCATTTAACCTCGCCATGCTGTATTTATGTAAGCATCACAAAAACTTTTTTCTCTACGGCTCAATAACATCAGCTGATACAGCTAAGATGCAGGATAATTTAGCTAAGCTTCTATATGTTCGGATACATGATCGAAATGACCAGCTTTGATTAAAGAGTCCACTTCCTCAGAGAAACTGAGTGAAAAAAACAAGACGAAGTTTCATGTCAGTCTGACACTCAAATCCAGTTGTACATTAAAATGACACCAGAACGTTCTTAAAAAGGTTAAAACGATGCTGAGGACGTTGATAAAAACGGAAAAATACAGAAATGGTGTCAAGAGCATTGCTTTACATACCGATGCACAGGAAAGCCCATGACGTTGAAGTAGCAACCCTGAATACCTTTCACAAAAGAACCTCCAATTCCCTAAAATCCGTCATGGACTCGGGTCAGCACCATCTCCCTTGAAGCAAACATCTGACCAAGCCTACAAAGAGGCTTGCACATCACACAGCATACGTTCTACATAAACTAAATCACAGTAGCTAGACCTCTACACCAGTTTACCTGTATCCCATAGCCCCCAGCCTTGTCCATGGGTTCTCCAGAGTCAATGTAGGCACTGATAGCTTCATTCTCCAACTTTGCAAATTCTACCTGTAAATATGAAAACCAACAGTACCACTGAACTCAGATGTATTTTGAAAAAAAACAGAGTTGAACCAAATGAGGTATTTCTATCCTTGTTCATATCCTTGTCCTTCAATTGAGCTCCCCTTAAACCAAGATATATGTTTTAATAATACTGTAAAAAGTGTTGCACTATGCAAGGAAACATATGTAAAGAAGAAAAAAACCTGAGTTTCCTCCCAGAAGGCTCGCACTAATGGCTGTCGACCTGATACTGGGTCTACTTGTATGCACATCAAAATCCAAATAATTTAGTCAGAACATATACGATCAAATCTTTTCTTTCAAATCCGACTTGATGACAGAGCTTAGCAACAGGGCACACTCACCGCGAATCTTAGGGAGTACGAGGGAGACCCCAGTGTAAACTTTGTGCCGCCGACCTGAAAATTAATTTGAAAGTCATTGTCTATATGTGGTGACTGAGCAAGAAAATCAAACGCTGAAGATCCACTGATTCAGGGAGAGCACATCGAAGGATTATAAAGACAGATTCAAGTTACCACTTAAACTGGACAGCATCCGAAAAGCGTCTTTCACATCTGCTGGCTTCTCTAATACTGATCCCTGTATACCAGAAGAAGGTGCCAGAGTTCATTCAGTACCGACTAGCGGGATAGACTCACGAGGTTCGCAATTGAGGCACTTAGAAGCCAGTTAGGCTCCGATCTCCAGTTATTCCTTCGGATAAGTGCTTAATCAGATAATGTACTTACATCTAGCTCGACCACAGTATCTGCTCCAATGACAAGATCTGCAAGAATGCCATTCTGGACCTGCTTCCATACAGTTAACAAAATAATGGAGTCAAAGGCTCTAACTCTTCTATTATGTGCAGCCCATTTCGAGAACCGACGCATTCCGACAAAAGATCGGTACCCAATAACTCAATCACAGTTGAGCATTCAGACCAACAAAACGAGACGTGCAGCATACAGTCCTTCTACCTTTTTAGAGACTTCTAGTGCCTTCTCCTTTGCCGTAGCGACAGCATAGTCTGTACGATCAAAGAACGAAGGTTATAACCCATTTGTTGTAAGGGTAGGACAAAATATTCGTGAGCTACCTTAGCGAGAAGGGACGGTCATGACAAGGAGGTCTTCTTGAGCTTTGATACAAAGAAAGAAGTTTCACAAGATACACTGTGAAATTTAAAATCTACCTCCCGGACACGGAAATGAAGAAATGTCAAGATTCTCTGCAAATGTAGAGGGAAGAATTGCTGCTTTCAAGCCCTGCAAACAACACGGGCTTTGATCATAATCCAAATGCTTTCTAAATCTTCCCTTGTATTTTAAACAGGAGGCTGCAGATTTCTGGCGAAAGTAAGCGAAAACAATTACCAAGCCTTGGATGAGTTCAGCCCTGCGAGGAGAAGCTGAAGCCAGTACAATGTACTTCTTCGAGAGAAGTGGAAGATGCTGAATTACCATCTTCTTCAGATATCTGATAAAAAACAGCAAAATATTGGTTCTCGCTTTCTCAAACAGATGATAAGCTTTACTCTTGTTTATTCTTGTGATATCAGCCTTATGTTATCAGACCTTAAACCTCATCGGTGACCACTAATCATATTACCCTCTAAAAGCAAGGACAATTTCCGTACAATTCAGCTTTGAATCTCACCAGCCGCACAAATCGTACCTGTTGAACTCGAGAAGACGGGGATCCCAATCCCAGCAGAAAAAAAGGAGGCCTGACTCGTAATACAAGACTCACCTTCGAAACCTACATTTACAACCGAGGTGCAGAAGAATATCACAATGCAGTGCATGAAAATCCACACCCAAACAACATTAAAGTCCACACGTTTCTCGTGACCATGAATTCGCAAATAGAAGACATTTAATGCACAAGTAAACGCAGAATTCCTTATCAACGCATTTGAACGAAAATGACACGAACCAATTCGTTCGGAATGTTCTGTCCATTACCGAAAGATGTGCCAGGCTCTGGGCAAAAGGCTTGTGCAGTTGGCAGATTTCCTTCGAGATTGACTACGGCTCGACAGTCGTACAGTCGATACAGGCCACCATTCTCAACTCCTTCGATTTCTTCACTTTTAGCAGCCCTGTCAGATTGCTCACGGAAACGGGCTCCTTGGAATCCAACAGATGGATGTGGGGTCAGCTGGGCCGGGACCAGGCGACCGGTAACTCTTCAATGCCGCGACAACGCGAGGTCGACACGAAGAGTAAGGTGCCGGGGAAGGTGAAATATCGGGAGTCGGGAGAAATAAGTTACCGCCGGAGGAGGAATATGACGGCGGTCACTTCAGATTTCGCGACGGGACGACGGGATCCATGAGTCGAGGATCGCGCGACTGACGTGACGAATCGTCCGCCACCGAGCTCGCGACACTAACACTGCGCCCTTCAGTTGGCGGCATCTCACCGACCGCGACGTATGAAGAACCTAGAACCTACTCCAACATGGAAGGCAACGTGTTCCCTCAAGGCATTTTGGAGTTTGGACGCCGAAGTTCACGAACTTCTCGAGTTTCAAGTTGGAGTTTTCGAGTGTTGGGGTCAATAACGTTTCTTGCAGAGGTAGTTTCTTCGCGTCGGAGTGTTCACGGAGTCTTAAATTTGCAAGGGCGTGGAATTGGGTAGCGCGCTCCAGCCTGCAAAATTTCACGCATTTTGGAGTTGGGACGCCGAAGTTCACTAATTTCTTTGAGTTTCAAGTTTGAGTTTTGAGCGTTGGGGCAGAGATCGTTTCTTGCAGAGATCTTTTCTTTGAGTCGGAGTGTTCACGGAGACTGAAAATTTGCAAGGGCGTGGAGTTGGGTAGCGCGCTCCAACGTGCAAAATTTCACGCATTTTGAAGTTGGAACACTGAAGTTCACAAATTTCTCAAGTTTCGAGTTGGAGTTTCGAGTGTTGGGGTCGAGATCGCTTCTTGTAGAGATCGTTGCTTCGCGTCGGAAAATCCATCAAGGCTTAAAATTTGCAGTGGCCTCGAGTTGGATAGCGCAATCCAATCTGCAAAATTTAACGCATTTTGGAGTTGGGAAGCCGAAGTTCACGAATTTCTTGAGTTTAGAATATCAATTGTGAATGTTCAAGTGTTAACAAAAATGTTCAAACACTTTTATCTTTTTGAAAAAACATGATCTGAGGTTGAAAATTTGTGAAGATTTGAACATCAATATTCGGCAGTAGCGTAAAAAGTTTGAAGTTGAATGGGCGCTTGAGTCGGAAGTTAAGGCATTTTTGGAGTTTTGACTTTTAGTTTCAAGTGTTCAAGTGGTCACCAAAATGTTTAGACATTTTTATCTTTTTTACAAAGCATGATCTGAGACTGAAACTTTGTGGGGACTAGGAGATCAATTTTTGGCAATAGCATAAAAAGTTTGAAGGTGAATGGAAGCTTGTGTTGGAAGTTACGGCATTTTTGGAGTTTCGACTTTTAATTTCGAGTGTTCAGGTGGTCACCAAAATGTTTAGATATTTTTATCTTTTTGACGAAGAATGATCTGAGGCTGAAAATTTGTGGAGACTTGGAGATCAATATTTGGCAGTATTAGAAAACGTTTGAAGGTGAATGGAAGCTTGAATTGAAAGTTACGACATTTTTGGAGTTTTGACTTTTAGTTTCGAATGTTCGAGTGACACCAAAATATCAAGTTGATACGATATGGCTTCTCAAGACGATATTTTCCAGCTTCTGAAAATAATTTTTGATTAATTGAAGTAACTTCGACATGAATTCAAGATGCAAGCGTGTAATAACCCACTAAAGGCTAAAACTGCAATATAGTGGTAGAAAGGTCGAACCCACAGGGACAGAGGAACACACAGGGTACAAAGTGTCACATTTAACAGACTATTGAGGAGTTTGAATTCTCAGGCGACTGTCACTCCCAGAAATACTGCAAGTGTTCACTCGGAGCTCACTCGGAGGTCGCACAGTGCAACGTAGTTCACTCAACACACACACACCTGAAACTACAGAAACACAACCCAGAGATCGATTAGGACCTCTACTCAAGATTTCAGGGGGAAAGTCTCTCGCGAGTACTGAGCGAAGCTGCGGGTAGTGACTCCCAACTCCGGCTTTTACAACCCTTCCACTAGTTTTTTGCTAGCGTAGGGAATCCGGATTGGACTTCCTACTTCGGATCGAAGTCACTCACACGCGGTGAACAACACGCTCAACTCACAAAACGCGCAGAGAACATAGGTCCGCACGGAGGAACTTAACTGAGAAACGATCCAGTAACACACCATAACAGTCTATTGAAGAGTTTGAATTCTTAGGCACTTGTCATTCCCAGAAATACTACAGGGGTTGCCTTGAAGGCACCTGCTGCAGCGTAACCTGAATTTACAACCAAGGCTTACACGAAGTAGCAAAACTTCACTTTGGCATTCAGGGGAAAAATCCCGAAGGAGTACAATCAGAAACAATCACTCGAAGGTGTAAGGGGGAAACTGCTCAAATATCTAACTCGTCTCTGAGCATCGGCAATCACCCGCAGGTGTAGATCCGAACTACTCAAGTCTCTAACCAATGTACTAGCTCTGAACATTCGGCCGAAGGTCTTCAGCTACACAATGCGGACCGCCAAGGTGAAGCTCCTCTTGCGTGGTGACAGAACTAAGGACACAAACACGCAGAGAAAATGAGTTCCTGATCTGCACTTCCGAAACTGGAAAAATCCCAAGGCAAGACGCCTTGAACTACTTTATACCTTCTAAGTCCTAACTAGCACTACACTGCACTATGCTACACGCCTGCACGGAACCACGCTACACTACACTCCATAGAACCTGTGCTTCGCCTCCTGCGCGACGGACTGCCGCGCACTAATTCCCTACCCTACCAGTCCTCAGCTCGACTGCGCAGTCCCAAACGCCGCAACACCGCAAAAACCTCCGTCTCAAGGGTGGCCATGGTGTCCCGTGACTTCGACAGAAAAGAGTCTAACTTCTTCGCCACTCGCCGCCGACTCCGACTGTCACCTGTCAACAACCCCGCTGCACGAAGCTCTAACTCGCGCAGTGTGAGTTTCTCCTACGCCGCCACTTTCCAGTGGGCGTAGCCCCTGAGACAGTGGGTGACTCGCCTCGCCATCTCTTCCTTCGTGCGATCTGCCGCCCGCCGGCGATCGTCTTCAACTACAACCAACTGTAATTCGGCCTCCGCACGCTGTGCTCTCAATTCCCCGCACTCGGACTGCAGTCTACGGATTAATTCCTCATCCGCCTGCCGTGCGAGCTGACACTGCTCTAACAACCGAGTCTGTCGCACGAGCTCCCCTGACAACATTCGATTCTAAGCCTGCTCAAAATCCAGCTCCTCTGTGAGCTTCGCCTTCTCCTTGGCGAACTCTTCTAGCTTCTCGTCCTTCACCTTGTTGAAGTGTTTGTACAACTTCTTATTGAGGTTGAGCTGACCCCACAGGCACTCATGCTTCCTCCCGCAGATCCTTAAGTTCCTGGTCCACACGGGCCAGCAACTTGCTGGTGTGGACTTTAGTGCGAGTTCGCCTACGCACTAACTCGACGTAGGACCCAGGCTGGCGAGGGTCCGCGTACTTCTCCATCTTACGATCCAGGTACCTCAGCAGAGGTACTACCTGCTCACAGAGCGCCGCCGTCGGCGCGCCTACCATTTCCTCCTCCTCCTCTTCTGTGGATCTCGATCCCGACACTGATTCCGTGGATCCTCCTTCGTCATCCTTCGAATTGAGGATTTCGGTCGCCATTGAATGCGTCGGCGACTGGCCTGTGCAGGGCTGCAAGATGTCTGCGTGCTCTGCCGCCGCTGGCGCTCCTGCAGCCTCGCTGCTCCCTGCTAAAATGTCTAAGGTGGTGGGTGAATGTGGCCGTGCCAAATTTCCATCGTCTGCATGTCCCTGTCCCGCCGCGACTGTAACCTCCTCGCCGCCGGCATCTACCGCCGAAGACGATCGTGCGGAATGTACCTGCGCGGAGTGTAATTGTGCATCGCGCGCACGAATTTCACCCTGCGGACAGTCCATCCGCTCCACCGATCGGTCCTGCTCCACCCTTAGGTCCTGCGCCAGGGATGCGTCTGGCCTACGCGTAGGCGCAATTCCCGGCGCTTCTTCCGCCGAGGGCGCAGCGCCGAAGGCGGTTGAGCCGAAGACGGCCCGCCCGATGTCCCTTGGCCCGAAGGCCCTTTCGCCAAAGGCGCACCTTCCGGCGGATTTCCCGCCGAAGGCGCAGCTCACTCCTGCTCTCTGGTCGTAACTCGGTGGCCCGAAGGCCCTGGCGCCGAAGGCGCATATACCGGCGATCTCACCGCCGGAGGGCCTTGTCCCGAAGGCCCTTGAGCCGAAGGCGGATCTTCCGCCGGCTCCTTCCCCTTCCTGCGTTGCACCGGGAGTGAGTCCTGCCTATGCATAGGCGAACTTTCTCTGCCTATGCGTAGGCACAAGTCTACGTCCGCAAGGGGTCGCCTATCTACAGGGAGTCGCCTATGCGTAGGCGGCACACTCGTCCGCGCCGCACGTGGTAGCTCCTGACCCGAAGGTCGTCTCTCTTCCGCCAAAGGCGTAGGGTGGTCTACTGACCCCTCGGCCGTCCGCGTAGTCCCATCCTTCTCCGGGGATGGACTTCCCTTCTCTGTGGCGATCGTCGCCGTTTCCGCGCTGTTGGCAGGTAACAAAAGCCTGCGCGCCTTCTGCTTCGGCCGGCTGCAGATCTCGTGCAGTGGCCGCTTCCGGGTGATAGCAGCTGATTCTTGCTGTTGCTCTTTCTCCGGTTCCTCTCTCCATCTCCGCTTCCGCGGCACTCGCGCTGCGGATGTGTCTCTCCCCGCATCCGGTTGACCCGGTGGAGTGGAAGTCGGTGAATCCTCCGCGTCGGTGTCTACTTCGTTATCCCGCACATACCTCCCGGGATGGTCGACTGACAATGGTGGAAATCGAGCACGCTCGGCCGCGGTTAAACAATTTATCAACCGATAAAAGTTTATCAAGAAGTGGGAGAGGTGATTGAGCGTTCCTCCCCGCTCCTCAAACGCATGCTGTCGCATCACCCTATGCAGGATACGCGACTAGTGAACTGGAGCTCCAGCCAATGTGAGCTCCACGAAGGACACCTGCCACAACGTGATGTACGTAGTGTGGTGCGGCTGCAACAGTTGCAGCAGCGCCATCGCTACGGTCCTGCGGAAACGATCTTTGTAGTCCCGAGTCCTGTACCCGTTCTTGGAAGACCTCTCCCGCTTGAACAATTCCACAAATGAGGCTTCGTCCGCCTTCGTTACCTTGACGCCCTCACTGTCAAACAGGA